TCCTCCTCACCTCCCTCACCTCCTATTCTTCTCTCTCGCACTTTCTCCCCTTTACCACATTCGACCGGGCCGCTAAGGCTATTCCCTGCAGTACAGCTCCCACTAGGATCTAGTTCCCCCTAGTCCGCCCCAGCGAAGTCCGCTAGAAGGAAACTTGACCGCGCCAGAAGCCCCCCCCGTCACTCTGCCGGCTCCACAACGTGCCTTTCTCCGTCCCTGCGGCCGGCAAATTCCTGGTGGATACGAAGTGAGCCACGCCGATCTGAATCGCAATCTCTTCTTCCTTTTCTACCATTACGCTTTCTGGAAGATGCCCTCTTTAGTTCTTGGCTCTTGACTTCATCCCTCAATTCCTATCAACGGAGTACTCCATTAAAAGAATCCTGACTCCTAAGAGAGAGCTCTCATCTCGGCCCTTCACTGCCCAATCCTTCCATGCCAGTCTCCCGAGTGTGAAACGAGCTATGGAAACCTTGAGCAGGTAACATGACGCAAGTTGTGATCGGGCAGATGTGGAGCCCTCCAGCGCCTGCATGAAAGGGGGAAGTGCCTGCTACAGGCTCCGACTCCCCCCCTACATAGGTAGGCATCTAGGTAGGCTGTCAAAAGCAACGTGTATCCGGGCACCCGGAACCCTCACTCCATCTCACTCCATCCATCTCTCTCCTTTTTTTTCGGCCGCTACAAAAGGGGGAGGAGTGTCGGAAACGGCACAGGTGGACATGATGACCTGCATGTCTCTCCCTGAAGATGGTGCGACAACGAGTGACGAGAAATGATGCGACTGGATGGGGAAGCAATTAGATCTTCAAATGCGGGTTGTGGATGGAAGGGATGTGCCTCACCATCTCGATAGTCTGTTCCCACTATCCCACTATTGCTAGCCGACTTGGACGGCGGAAGGCTAAATTCGATCTATGCTTTTCCTTCTAGAAGGTTTTGACGGGCCCCCTTCCTCTCCTCTCCCGCATTTCAACGGAGTACACGGGACGCAAGGTGGCTCCCGACACCTTTCTGGTGAAACAATAAACATCTGGTCCTTCTCGCCTCCCTGATCATCGTGCAACCTCTGCCCGAACGAGTACATGGCTTGATCTCACGGACTCTTTCCCCCTCTCCGTGGACGTGAGCTTTGGTGAGATTTCCTGACGATCCATCTCCCCTCCCTCACCAAGTGGACCCTCTTGGCCGGCGTCGGTAATTAAAACCCCATCTCGTCCATGCCCCTTTTCCCTTCCGGGGGGCGCTAGAAGGCGCCGGCCTGATTCAGCCTCCAGAGAACCCACTTCACTGCCACCCAGACGGGACAGAGGGCTGAATGATCGCTCTGGACTGGACCCGCTAGGCCTTCTCCTGACCTTCTGGAAGGCCGCCAGAAGGATTTCGAAGGTCCATGGAAGCAGCCCAAGGTGGAAAAAAAGTGGTCACCGTTTGCTTCCACCCCATCCTGCACGGATGCATCGGGTCCAAGCCCAACTGGTGCACATCCTTGCGGACCCCCGGTCGACCCTCTCTCGGGGAGATTTCGATGCTCCAAACCATACAGAATCAACACCTACATACGCCGTAATTTTGCTTGATCACATTCCGATTCTCAATCAGGGTTGGATTGGCATCCTGCCATGAAAAAGGGGGAGGGGAAGGTTCTAGTGGTTGGGCATCGAGGAGGCTGGACCAATGGACTGGACTGGTTGTCCCGGATACTTCCTGTTCTTTGTCGTGATCAACTCTTTTTGTCTTTTCCCCCGCTTACACCACACTCAGACACCCCTGACAACCGTTACGCCACCACTAAGGAAGCAGCTGCAGCTGCAACTTCGTACTCGGTCCTGCGGAGGCTGTCCGAGATTGGTTGCTTCAAGAGCCAAGTCGCTGGGGTACAGTAGAGCCCGGCTGACGAAAACAAAGCAAGCCACATCTGCACCCCGTAGCATACAAGATTGGGCGTACGGTGGAAGTTAGTCAAGAAAGAAGAGAGAGAGGAGAGGGGACAAAAGAAACCAGGTCTCAAAATTCAGACGAGCCAATCATTTGGTAGATAATCGACATCGCGCAGCACCACAAGCGGAGAGGAGCGCTGGGGAGTCCTCAAATTCGCCGGCAACAGCCGCCTCGGCGGCTCTCGATTGGTCGTTAGCACGGGGCACTGCCCACATGGTTGTGGCTGAGACGTGTCTTGGTGTATCAAAAACGCGCTAGTCTCCATATTTCTATTAGTAGAACAGGAAATTACCCCTGGACACGCGTGGCACAATCACCTTTGTCCCGCGTATTTCGTGTTGGCAGTTGGGAAGCAGACTACCGTTTCAGCGCGTCCCGACAACTTTGGCAGGGAAAACCAGGTTCTCAAAGTGTATAATTAAGTTGTACCTGGTGCCATCGAAACCCTGGGCATAAACATACATCTACAATAACTGATCCATGGCCAACGGTCACGCTTGGACCAGCGGCCCCTGGATGATGTCACTGGGGAAATCGTGCACTGGCCTCGTTCATCTTCAACGCGACCCATCCCAATATCAAATAGTTCGGATCGATCCCCCATCGATCAGCCCTTTTCATTTCGCTAATTGTGGTCCCGTTTGAAAATCTCCAAAGGACCCAGCAGCGACCGATGGGGCTCGCTACTTGCAGAAACTCGTTTTGCCTTGATCCAGTTCAATGCATACTGCGATTGCGTAACGAAAAAGCAATTCTTCACCTTAGTCTGCTACTGCGGTCAGATCCAAAAAAAAGACAAAAGAAAGCATAGATAAGATGGAAACAAGCTAAACCAAACTCAAAAAAAGGAAACAAAACCCTACTACGCCCTATCTATCAAGCCACTTTTTTTTCTATCGCCTGTGGCGTCTGATCTAGAAAATAGGAGAAGAGAGCATTTCTTGATCTCGCACTTCGCACAACGTTGGCTGATTTCGCGTCACCTAGTGCCTGGGTCCATCCCCATCAATTCCACTCTAGGCGAGCACAGCCGAACAAGACCGAACGAAATGAGGGCCCCCCTCTGTCATGGTCAAACCCGCTTTTCCCGCTGGTCTCGGATGAGGTATGCCCTGGCGGATCTTACAACAACAGACTACGGAGTGCTAGAGACCGCGCTAATAGTGGGCATGACACACATGAGACTAAGTGGGCTTGGTAAGGGGATTTTCTCAGAATTGAGGGTCGTTGCGGAGACGATGGTGGAAATTAAATCTGGGATCGCAAAATGCGCACGTCCTTTGCGTAGATCATGTAGTATACACCGCATCTCTATGGAGTGACGACTTGGTTTCGAAGGTTGGGTCTGATCGCGAACTATTGCATTCTGGGCATGGCTTGGCTTATTTGGACTTGTTTTTGGTCTATACTATGAAATTAAGGTGGACGTAATTGCATCGACTTGAAGATCTAAAGTCTCATTTCCTAGTTCAATGAATCCTAGTTCAATGAAGGGGTCTTGTATTATAGAACGCAGCTAATATAATGATTGTCACTTTTTGTTTCGACAAATTTTTTTTCTGATGGTCATCAAAAACTTAGAAACAAGACTATTTTGAAATGCCTGCTCCTGGGCTTTCAAGACAATCTCGATGTCCCTGAATCATGCTCAATATTTCAAGTTGGTTTACTCCCAACACCTGGGCACATACCTACCTAAGTACCTATCTGATATATTGGAAGAGAAAACATACTACGTCCTCACGCTATACTGATTGGCTAATAAATTCTTATTTCTTGCATTGTCTGATTAGTTTATTCACACCTTTGTCAGTACTAGTAGCATAATATTAGACCTAAACATCAAAGCGATGGATGTGAGAAGGCCTATTTAGATGAGCTTGTTTACTACCTTCATTCCTGGCCGAACCTGAGAATATCCATTGAGAACCGCCTGCCTGAGCTACCGCTCATGGTTTCCTTGGAGACCAGATATCACTTTTCATATCTCCCGAGGTCCTTTTACGAATACATTTGGTCGTTTCCAAGGTCCCCTCCAACTTGAACTTGAACCTTCAAGTTCAAAGTTCGTTGCCGTGTGTGATATTGAACACATGTACCTACTCCCGAGGTTGGATGCATATAATTCTATATCGAATAGCCACATGCCAGTGGACAGAACATGGCACATATACTAGTATGTACCTAGGTAGGATGTCGTATGGACGAGGATGAATGGATCTACGCACAAAACGCGGTTATTCCGTTACCGCATACTAGTACTTACAGGCTCCAGAACACAGTGATCAATTTCCGGGGCTCGTGATGATCCGTGGATGATCTGACGGCAATATAACGCGAAAATCCAGCATATCAGTGCAGTCAAGAGTGTTTGAAGTTCGAAGTACATATTTCAAGAAAATGAATATTGGCAAGATATCAGTACTAGTATCACTTCTATCGTAACGAACCTTGGAAAGAGAGGTTTCTCTGGTACCAGGAACTTAGATTGTGTCCGCATCTACGCTTACACTTTTATCAAAGCCTGCCTGGGCGCAGTTTCATCAGGGTTTGGAAGATCAAGCACCAGGTTGAGCAGTGAAACACCCCAGCCATGCAAACCAGCAAACCCGTTGATGAAACGATAGCATTAATGGGTTTGTGTTTCAAGAATATGCTACAAGAAATGTACTACTAGCAAGATGATTACCAACATGGACGATTTTGTTCCGTCGCAGAGTGTAACACAGGCAAAGCTGCTACAGAGTATCGAGAATTACCCTACGAATCTACTGCTGATCAAGTGCAAGTATTCCATGTCACATTAAGTGCATCCCCAGGGCATTATAACAGTGTAGACAAAGGTGTATCACCGATCTATAAACAATAATCCCATGCAAAGAGCCTAAGACCAAGCGCCGGACTGATGAGAGGGAAGACAGGGAAGGCCCACAGCAAACCGCCAAAAAACGGCCACCCTGACCCCAATGGCCCCAACAAGGGAGCAAATACAATAAAAGGAGACAAACAGGACGTATATGAAAGGAGAGGAAAGCAAAAACGCCAAAAGAGTTACATAATCACCGCTTTCGCCATGAGAGCTCCAGAACCTGGTCGCCATCCTTGTCACGCAGAATGTACCACTGTGTCACGCGCCCGTTCGGCTCGCTCACAGCGTCCTCCAGCTGAAAGCTAATCTTGTTGTCGTCCTTCTGGCGGAGTGGGCCGAGTTCGTGCAGGTAAGACTCATCGGTAGCGCCGTTGTGCGGTTCCCAGGTCATTTCCATGGCGATGTCGTCCACATCTATAGGCAGGGAATATTTGATGACGGAGAAACCGTTGGTCAAGAGCCAGCCATCGCCAAACTGCCATTGGCGCAGCAGACATGATTCCCCGCAGAGGTCGGAGACCACGCTCAGCTTGGGCATGTCAGCCGTGAACCAGGATTTCCAGTGGTGCACTGATAGAGGCGCCTCGCGGCCTGCCTCGAAGAATCCCGAGGCATCCTTCATCAGATCCAGCTGGTGCAGGCGGTGGTCCACGGTTAGATGGGTAGTCGTGTACTGATAGATGCAATTGGCGATACGGCGGTCACCGGTGAAGGTCATCTGCTGGCACTCGTCGTATACGGTGCCCAGATCGGTTAACAACGGTCGCGACAAGAAGACGCCAGCGCCTCCAAACGCGATTATTCCAAAGATGGCAATCTGGGGAAGACCTTCCGACACGCCGCCGATATAGTAGGGTTTGGTGTGGTCGTATTCGGCCAAGGCATCGACCAGCGCGGGCATGGAAAGGAAGAAGGTGTCGTCGTCGATGATGCAGGCCCATTTCGTCTGTTCTCGCATGTTTTTCTCCAGGATAGAGACAAGGGCGAAGTACCGATGTAGGTAGTCATCGGCTGATTCTGTGATAAATAGGTTGATTCCTAGGTTCTCTGCCTTGATTTTCACCTCTAGGACACCATTTTTCGTTTCATCTGGCTCGATCAGCGCAAAGATGCGCGTTTGAGTGTATCCAGCCCAGTGTTGAAACTGATCTAGCGACTCGTTCAATCGGGAAACAGTAGTCGCCACGCCAAAGTCAATATGCGATGCATCGGCCGATTTAGGGGCAACGGGCACCTGGAGGGTGAGCGGGGTTGAGACTGAACAACCATCCTGCATCCCTCCCTCTTCTTGACTCGCAAAATCCGTCAACTTTGTGTCCCACAGCGGTTGGTCGAGTTTCTGCTTGATGGCAAGCGGATCCGAGTTGAAGTCGACCACGATCTCTCGGCGGGTATAATCGGCCAGCTTTTTGATCTTCAAGCGATGCAGCATGTCGATGTCCGGGTCGCATTGTACCTTTGTGGAAATTGTGATGTTGGATTGAGCACGCATGGGAGTGGCGTGGTGCTTGTGGGAGGGCCAGAGTAGAGTCGCGAAACCGGCGACGGCGAGGAGGATAATAGCAAAGCGCAAGATTCTCTTCCAGGCCCATGAGGCCGGAATGGCCCCTTCCCGGTTGAATAACATGACGGTTGCAAAATCTGGGAGGCTTTTTGAAGCCCAGCGGGATTCTATGTATTTGTTCGCGAAAGTCACCTGGAGAATATCCGCATTGCGGAGGCGGACGCGGAAAGGACTTGAACAAACAAGGAATTGGAGACCCGCGGCGAGAGGGAGAGGGTATGTACCGGGGAGGGGAAGGGAGAGGTGGAGGATGAGGCAAAATCCTCTAGAGCGAAAATGACAGAGACGGGAGCGAGAGACGATCGCAGTTCCATGGGAGGGCGAAAGGGCCAGGGGCCAGTGACGTCCTGTCACGTGGAGGACTACTACATTAGATGCATAACATACAGTACCTACCGTATACCATGATACGAATACTGTATGTTTTTAGGGTTTTTAGGGTTTATGCTACTATATTTATTCAGTCCAATTATCAATGTAATATTATACTATTATTATAGTATACCCTAGGGTAAACTAACTGACTAACTAACTAACTAATCAATACTACTCTGTACGGAGTAGACTCCGGAGCCTCGTAGACCCTCTGGCCACTATCCGCTGCCAAGCCCGGCTGCCAATTTCTCACTCGCCTTCGCCAACCCGCCCCAGCTCCACGTCCGCGCGTCACTTTTCCTGGTTACAGCGGGCCCATGCCAACTTGGCAGGGCTTTGTTCTCTCCTCCCCCCCCCCCGCAAGACTCTACATCGTGAAAACGAATGGACAATTGAGAGAGAAAATTTGATCCTAAATACCATAAGCCACCACATTCAATCGGGCATTTTTGTATCGTTCGTGCAATCCTCTCCCGACGATCGTGTCGCAGATCTCCCCCTGCCCCTGTCCTTGACCCGCTTTCACCGAGTCCAAATGGGTCTTGACAGTTGAGTTTCTATGCCCTCTTTGTGCTAGCTGATCGCCCCAAACCTTTTCAGGGTTCAGGGTCCAACCGGTCCGGATGAACGAGGCGAATGGGCTAGTACTCAACGCTTACGGAGCACGGATTACATGGCAAGGGTGGTCTATACTGTGCAGATCAAATTCTCGGACCACGCGAATCTACGACAGGGCACGAAGGAATCCGTTGGTTTGGCTAGTAGAAGTGGCGTTCCGACCGGCCGTACGTCCAGCCTCGACGCGGAAAACGGCCGGCCGGTCGGAACGCCACTATTACTAGCCAACATCTGATGAATGCCGAAAGTTTACGGAGTACTAACTAGTATTATGAGTGAGATCACAGTCAGATTAAAATCTCTTTGTGACATTGCAAGTTGTACTATTAACTAAGATATCTGAATACTAGACTAAGTAGACACTAGATAATCTCCCTTCTTACCTTGAGCCTGTGGGTAGGCGGCACAAAGCCCCCAACCCGCATCACCCTGGGTTCTGAATCAAAATAAGAGGTAAACACCGCACCCAAAAAATCTATAGAAGAGTTTACTATAACAGAAGTCCTTTGATAATTAGATAAATATATATTGTTAACGAAAGGTAGTAAACCGAGGCAAAAAGAAGGAGATATTAGTAGTAGTACTAGTAAGAGCTTCTGTCATAACTACTAGTATCTACGAGTACATAAAATAGGAGACTAGGCACCACCACCAGCCCGCCCGGGCGGTTCGTCACAATCGGTCGCCAAGAGAGCCTATATGCAGGTCTACCGTGGACCTGTACATGTCTGAGTGACACAGATATAATATGCATTCAAGAGTCCATCGCAGATTCTTAAGCATAAGGTTCAGGGTTGAGGTTCATTTCACTCTTTCCCATCTTAGCTTCACGGAACATCCTCCATGTGTTTCTGATGCTGTGGTAGAGCTCTCCTGGGTTGAACAATTCGATCCAGGCATAGATTCCCAAAGGACCACCCTTGTAGCGCTTTCCGAGGGGACTGCCGGCCTCATTGCCGTCTACTGCGAGGTATTGCTGAGAACCGTCACTAGCGCGTGTAGTATTCGCCTTTGTGTATGGCTTGAGGTTAAAGGCGTGGAAAAAGAAGAATGCAAATGGGACCACCTGCAGACAGATGATCATGGTGGGAATACCAATGATAATGTCTGCATAGCTCAAGGTAGCGGAGGGCTTGAGGGTGTTGGTGGCGTCGAGGATCATAAAGATGATCTGTTATTTGTTAGAATTTTGAAATTTCCTTATTCAAAGGGTGTGAGTCTTTCTGACCTGTTCTAAGAACTCAAGACCAACAACCATCTTGAATGCTATGAGCTTCTGCATAGGCTTGTTTTCTCCCATGTAGGACTTCAGGTGTTTGTGGAACCTGATTATGTTGAAAATAGCCATATATAGCGAAATGATATTAATGACAGTAATCTGGTAGTTAAAGTGTCAGATTTGAATACATTGCCAAGCAGTATATTAGATGCACTTACGTAGATTTTAGAAAAATGAGCACCCTTTCCTTCGAGGCAGTAAGTTCCCTGCGCTTGGGTGACGCTTTGAACTATGGCGAGAATGAATGCGACAATTGGATACTGGAGAACGGAAATCCAGGTTCTCTTCAAACGTACAAAGTCAGTTGGGTCTCTTGACTATCATATCAGATTCAGATCACTAACCTTCAAGAATGACAATCCGTCCGATGTTCCTTTGGTGTATGTGTTTGGAACACGCAGAGACGCAAAGAACTCCGGTCTATGCCGGTCATTTGGTGCCATAAAATCGCAAAGCAACATGAGAAACCAATACATGGCAAGACCTTGGATAAACTTTGTCCATCCATTCATATAGACATATGCGTTGGGAAAGCATATTGAAAGCAATGAATAGATCGTATATAGGGGGGAAAGTGTAGCAATTCTCATAATTCTTTATTAATCTTCTGTCAGTATTTTTAATTATTACATCACTTTGGAATAAAGATAATTAAACTTACTTAACCTGTTGGTTTGGGTCACTGTATCGCAGTGCATGCCGAGCCATGACCGCGAAAATCACCAAACAAGTAATTGCGGAGCAGCAACCAGAGAGTATCTCATTAAATTCGTGAAAGGAGTAATCCCCGATAAACTTTTCAGGCGCGTCTAGTTGAAAACCAAATCAGTTTCTCGAGATTGAAAAAGACTACAGTTGAGATGCCTACCAGGGACCAGATGAGCCGGCATAGGGCAAACTGCCTTGTCATCCCCGCTACGAGTAAATAACTCGGCTGCCCCCATTCTGAGTCTTGATACTTTAAACAATTGAAATGTGCCGGGGAAGAATTCTGTGAAGAACTTTAGAGACCCAGTGAAGGCGTAGCTTGATGTTGGATAAGTATTATTGAGAAGTGGCTGATAATAGAATGAGTTGAAGAAAACCCGAGAGATGGGTCCAGTTTCTTATATCTATGAACGACTGCCGACTTGAATTTTGCGGCCCCATGAGCCTGAGCTTAGATGTTATTTTTAGGAGATTATTTTCTTCGAACACTCCACAAAAGAGTACAAGGTAGACAAGCCTCTGACATAATTTCTCTGCAGCTACGCGTAACTAGCTCTAGATCAGCCCGATTGCATTCCAGATGAGGAAGAAAATGAGGAGGCAGGACTTTAGAATCCACCGATTATATTGAAGGATATCTGCTGTTCTTCAGGTTGGGGGCTGCATCTGGCACGCTGAATGATTCGTGGCAGCCAATGCGTTCGATGTCTGCACTTCATGATTGGTTGAGCATGTGTATTACTGTAAATGGACTAGCGCGAGCGGGATATCCCCATTAGCTAATCAACCTTTCAGCCAATGATATCCCTGGAAGCTTCAGCCCTAAGCGGCTATGGCCAACCAGATACCAATCTGGGAGTCCTCAGCTTGTACAGAGACAGTAAAGCCACATGCAGATCAGTCTTGGCTGGGGGCTTCTCTCTCGCACTTTTACCCGTAAACTGTAATCAGATCCTTGTTCAATGGAGCCACTTGGGGACCCATTGGCTGAGCTGTGAACGAGACAACTCAATGATGACTTAAACGTCGGTAGAAAAGAGGATTCAGGAATCCTTCCCCCAAACACCCGACACCCCTCGCATCAAAATAACTACACTAAGGTTCTCGTAACCTCACAACCTTGCTGGTTCGTACTTGCTGGCCAATTAGACACGATGACCTCATGCCTGACAATCAGTAAAGGCTGTCAACAGCGTAGAGAGTTGTCCTAGTGTTACGCATTGCTAACAGGCCACAGTGAGTAACATCCAATGAGCTGGGCCTTGGTTCGTGCTCTGGTCGTGGTGATGGCTGAATTAGGTCTCCCCGCCTGCGACGAGTTGCTACTGTCGTTCGGTGCCATGACGATTGTTCTTCGTAGTTTTGAGTTGACAGGGCAATCAATATGTTATGTGTTGCTAACGACTCACAGTGAGTAGCGTCTAATAAGCTCAACTTACCAAATGACAGAGAAGTCTCCCTGTTAGTCCTCAAGTCTTGACTCACAACCGTACCGTTGCTGCTCAGGTGTGCAAACCTTACAAAGACTCGGGTCCTGTTGAATGGCTTCCAAGGATGCGCCAGGTAGAGCGCCAAATACCTAGGTAGGTCAGTCTGAAGGAGGCCCCTACTTGGACTAGTGGGATCATATCTGTCACAAAGACTGAAGCTATACAAAATACAATCCGAAAGTTATCTTGTCGTAACTCAGATTGATTGATCGCGAAAGACTAAATACATGAGCTTGAATAAGTGTCCTTATATACCTAGTAGGTATCCGGTTCTTCCTATTGCTGTGGTGGGATACTATCCTTCAAACTTTCACCGATGGGATGAGATGGATCCCATTGTACCGTTAGCATGTCACTTTCCCTGCGTTATTAGAGTCCCTAGAATATTCCATGATTCCTCAACTGAGACTCTCTGCTATACGAAGTATCCGTTGCTGGTGGCAACGCCATGATTCTGGGAGTTGCTTCGTACGTGATCCGTAGACGGTTATGGTGCTTGTAAATTGGTAGACTCGATGGCCTGTTTGTAGGTTTCACTGGCCCCTCAAAATATCATGATGTTAGTATGCGGCCTGTAATGCTAGCAATACTTTAAAATTCTCATCTGCCAGTGATTAGTAAATCCTAACCTTGAAATACATATTACTAGTACTAGTTCCGCTCTAACAGTATCGGAAGTTGTAATGTATGATTTCTTATATTCGATCCCTTAATGTCGCTTTTTTTTTATTAAGGAGCCAATTGTAGTAGATAAACATACCTAGTACCTAATTGATCCAGTTAGGCTAGGCCGACAGGCTATTACTACTACTACTAGTATTTCCCACTGGCAAGAAGTACCCCTCGTAGTACCCTCATACTTTTTGCTATAGTTAAGGCAGAATTTTTTTACCTAGGCAACTTGAACTTGAACCTACCATTGCCCAGTCTGGCCTGCAGGTTTTGGGGCTGTGTCGAATCCTTCAGTTAGTATACTAGATCGTTGCATTTACCTTAATCCTTGTTACTACTAGTAGGGAGTATTTCATACGGATTTTATTACTGGTATTACACCAGTACGGGAGGCTCGGCTATTTTGAACCCCAATTCATTTCAAGGGTCCTGCCAGTGGATTGTATTAGTCCGGTCTAGAGCAAGCCATGTGCTTGCGGCGCGATCCAGAACTCGGTCCCGGGCTCTGGAGGTCAGGGGTAATGTGCAAAAAGTGTAATACGGATCGGAAGCTTGAAAAATAGTACTCACTGCCAATAGTAACGTGATTCCCGAGTCTATAACTTCGATTGATCGGGCCCCGGGGCCGATGCCAACCTGGACATCCATTGCTAGTTCCCGACCGAGGGGAGACGGTACTACTAGTAGTAGTTACCGGTCCCGATAACAAACTAGTTATCCCTTAAGGTAGTCTCTGTTTCCAAACTTTTGAAATTCAACCTTAGAAGTTCCACCCGACATTTCGACTAGATATTTCCAACAGAACCAAATATCTTTACAGCGTACGCCGGAGCATAAAATAACTTCAATTTAATGAATCCGAATTGCTAGTTTGCACTAACAGTACTCGGTGCTTGTAGTTGCCACGGGATGCTCACGTGACACTACGGCGGGGCAGTCAGTCCATAGTGCAGCCCGGGGAAGGTTTGATTCCGCACACTCTGGCCTTGCGGAGAGGTGGATATCAACGGTGTTCGCTCAACTTGTTTATCGACTACCAAATACCACTCGCAAACCTCCTTTATCTTCTCTCGATTGAATCTATACCTTGCGCAACTCCGCCATGGTCGCGCAATCGCTGAGCTCGCTCCTTCAGCGGGCATCGATTGACGATCACGAGGAGGTTCTCCAGGCTTGCACCAACTCGCTCTCCAAGAACAAGTCCGACCTGAATGCTCAGCACATCAAGATCATTGCCCTATTAAAGCTCGACCGATATGAGGATGCCCTCCGCGTGTTCGAGACCGGAGGTGATGATTTGAAGAGGCGGGCTAGCTTCGAGTACGCATATACGCTGTACAAAATCGGGAAATTGAATGAGTCTATGGCTGTTCTGTCCCAATCGGAAAGGAGCAGAGGCGTCGACCATCTTGATGCGCAAGTGGTATGTTACATAGGCACCCAAGCCTGTATGGAACACTGGGCAATCGCTAATGGCTACTCTCGAATAGAGCTACCGGGCTGAGCAGTTCCGCCGTGCTGCCGATCTCTACGAACAACTGTCTCAAGACGAGGAGGCGCACCGCCATGAAGATAACGACTTGAGCATCAACTCGTGGGCTACCGATTCCCAGCTCCAGTGGAAAGGCGAGGCGGAACATGTGCGCCATGACCGGCCTTCGAGGGAGGACCTGGAATCTTTTGAGACAACTTTCAACGCGGCTTGCTTGAATATTGCGCGGGGAGCCTTACCCCAGGGCGAGGTTCTTCTCAACAGAGCGAAGAGTGAGTTTTCATAAATATATCTCACGGTGAACTTTCGCTAACTGGCATTCAGATATCTGCCAGACATCGGAGGACCTCACACCCGAAGATCGAGCCGCGGAGCTGCTTCCAATTGCTGTACAGCACCTTTACGTTTTGATTCGATTGGGCAAGAATGAAGAGGCGGAGGCGCTTCTGAAGGAGATCTCCGTGGACGAGTAAGATGGCCACCCTTATCCGAGGAAGAATTTACGCTTATCATTGATTCAGTATCCATGAACTTTCGACCAAGAAGATCGCACGGAACAACATTGTCCTGGCTCGTCAAACCGCGACAAACCCTTTCACCCTCTACAAGTCTCTCCACTCCACACCCGACGCTACCAACAACGACCGCTTGTTCGATTTTCAAGACAATACCTTGGTGGGTAACGCCCACGCTGTGGACCTTTTGGTTCAGAAATATGATGGTATGGTTCGGTCAACGACAAAGGCCCTTTCTAAGAGCCCTTGCCCATCCACCGAGTCTAAAATCAACCTTCTTTCCGTGTACAATGCCGCTGGTCAAGCGGAGGGACAGGATGGCGCCAAGGCCCTGAAGAAGATTGTCCCGCTTTTGGAGCATCGACCAAAGGACCTGGGTCTGCTTTTGACTGTAGTCCAGCTATATGTCAAGGCTGGTAACACAACCTCCGCGATCACAGCCATGGAACGCTCACTACGCAGCCTGGAGGAATCCATCTCCGAAGCCGACCAGGATGCCCGATTCAACCCCGGCCTGCTTAGCACCCTTGTCTCTCTTTACCAGCTCGAGGGCCGCAAGCTTCAGATCCGCTCCACCCTGGGTCAAGCCGCTTCATACTGGCAGAAGAAGCCCGAAGCCCCGATCTCTCTCCTGCGCGCTGCTGCAACCTCCTTGCTCCATTCCGACGACAAAGCCGACTTGGTCGCAGCGGGCGAAATTTTCCGATCCCTGCACCAGAAAGACTCCACAGACCGTGTTGCCATCGCCGGCTACGTCGCGTCACAAGCGACACTGGACTACTCACAAGTGGAGTCGCAACTCGACCGTCTCCCCGCAATCGGCGAGCTCGTCGGTGATGTCGACGTCTCTGCCCTGGAGTCAGCAGGCATCATGCCCTCCGCCTCCGTGGCAGCAGCAGCCTTCGCCAAAGCCCGCAAGCGCTCCGCCACCGACAAGGAAGGTCAGGTCAAGAAGCGTGTTCGCCACTCTCGTCTGCCAAAGGACTATGACCCGGCGAAGCAGGCAGACCCCGAGCGCTGGCTCCCCATCCGTGACCGCTCCTCGTACCGGCCCAAGGGCAAGAAGGGCAAGCAACGTGCTGCGGAACGTACCCAAGGTGGTGCTGTTAATGAGAGTTTGGATAGCTCTGCTCAGCAGAAGCCTGCTAGCAGTGTTGTATCCAACAAACAGAATAAGAAAAAGAAGGGCAAGCGATAGTCTTATCACGCTGTTGCTGGTGTATATGTCATGTCTGCATAGATGAGAATTCGGGCTTCAGCCTTGACGCATGAAACTTTGCCATAAATCGTGCTTTTCCTTCCTCGGACTGTAAGACTTAGGAAATTGACTATTAGTAAGATTATAATTCATGTTAATACTCTGCTCTTCCTGGCACTCCCACAGCGAGCTGGTTGTTGCTACCAGTAGTACGCATACCTACCCTGGTAGCACCTACTAGTAGTTGTAGCTATTGGCGATTGAAATTCAGAGAATGGGGTGGAATATTTGCTACCACCGTACTAATTGTATCTAGAATGTTTCCCCAGACAGGACTCTTTCCAGCGACTCCTAAATTCGCGAATATGCAATATCGGAACATCACACTGCCTTCTGATTGGCAATTTCTTGAACCAGCGCCTTGACCTTTTCCGAATTCCATTCCTCCAATCCGACCAGAGGATTGTCGTCGCTTTTCCAAGGGTGCGCCAGGGCCTCGGTAGCAAGGCAGTATTGAATCTGCACGACAAAAGTTGCGTCACTAATATTGCCAGAATTGAGATCCCCCAAAGCCTTCTGCAAAAGGGGCTCCATATCGTTATATGTGGCAGTCCACTCCCCACCTGAAATCCCCTTGGCGATGTCGAAGAGTTGGTTCTGCGACATGAAAACAGAGTGGATATAGACCGGTCGGTTCAAAGTTTCTTGCGGATGTAAAAGGACATTGGCGGTCGCTTTGCCGACGTCTTCCAATGTTGTCCATGGGTGGACGTTATTTCCATCGCCGAAGATCCAGGCTGTCTTCTCTTGGAAGTTCAAACCAGCAAAACCAGTAGAGAGACACCAGTCGAGGAAAGCACCACAAGATATCAGGGTGTAGGTCATGCGCTTTTCAGCAGCTTGTTTTTTCACAGCTTCGTAAGATGCTTTCTTTCGGCCAAAGACGGGCAAGTCGTAGACACCTGGCAGTTCGGGATCCAATCCAAAATCGCTTGTTATACTGATAATGCGTGGGAACAGGGCAGAACATTAGTCAAACACAAGTTGTTCTGGATGTGAGGAAGATGGATTCACTAACAAGCGATAAACCCCGGACTTGGCTGCTGCTTCGATCAAGCGGAGAGGAGTTTCAACATCGGGCGAGAAAGTAGTATCGATCACTGCGTCTTGTCCGATGAGAGCCGCAGATAAATCCTCGATCGATGTAAAGTCAACGACTTTGATTTGAGCTCCGACTGGGAAGGGCCTAGGACTGCGACTTAGAACCGTGACACTGAACTCCTTGATATCGAGCAATGCATTGAGTACTTGAGCCCCGACATTTCCGCTTGCCTATTCATACTAGCTTGTCAAATTCGACATCCCGCAGCGGAGTATTCGGGTTGCATCTTACCCCGGCAAGCACCACATTTTTAATGGCACGTGACATTTTATGCACTTAAAGATATACTTAGTGACCAGGTGCGTGAAAAGAGAAGTTTGGAAGAATATGGAGTGATATGTAGAGATTTGTTGTCTATTTAAGCGTTCATATTACTTTATAATCTTGAAGGTCATGATCTGGCGATGAGAGTCTCCGAGTGAGAAAGATTGAAACGGATTTCATCGGAGATCGAGGTTAATATACCCAGCAGGGATTTCGAGGCCTTCGAAGTGAATCTGTGATTTTTAAACAATGTCATTTTGGGGTGCAGGTCCCCGTCTCCGCCTTGTTTCGGTCTCCGAAGTAAACCCGTTTATCTCCGTGAGCCCGAGAGGCTTTTTGGGAGCCTGAGGATGCCAAGCGCAACCAGAGCCACGAAAATACCATGTGACCTATTACCTAGATACTATAACAAATACATACTACAGCCAGAGATTGACCATCAATCATCAAGTCTTGTGATTTTAGTATAAGGCGGTGAAAATAAGGTACTACACACGTAAATTCAAATCCAACTAGATATGGGGGGGTTAATAGTTACTCTTGAGCTACGACTAGAGGAGGATGAAGCATGGCTATTGAGGGACTCGGAAGTGTTATACCTAGGCATGAAGCTTTCAGGCGGAAAGTTTCCGCTACTATACTGTATGTTCTTTTTGAAAATTTTTATCAAATTTCATCGTTGTTCTTGTTTAGAATTGAACACACGGTCGGAATCTGATTAAGCTTGACGTGTAAAACGAATGGATTGAAATATTTGGTCTCTCCGGAGTCGGCTATCCAGATCACTCAGCCCCATGATCTATAAGAAGCTGAACTGTATCTTGAAATTGACGACCACGGGCTTTGGCACGTGCTAAAGCCGTCTCCCCAGAACCATGCTTGAAGTTAACATCAGCTCCGAAGTCGATGAGAAGTTTCACAATATCCACGTTTAAATTTATTGCGAACGCAAGAGGCGTGTCTCCGTTAGAAGATTGTGCATTAACATTTGCTCCTTTCTCAGCAAGGAGCCGGACGGTAGCCTCACGTCCCATCCATGATGCTCTTAAAAGAGGTGTTAAGTTGTGAGCACTGCTGGCCTCTATATCTGCCCCCTTCTCAATCAAAAACCGAACAATATTCTCACGTCCCATCAATGATGCTTCTAAAAGAGGTGTTGAGTTGTGAACACTTCTGGCCTCTATGTCTGCCCCCTTCTCAATAAGGAGCCGAACAATAGCCTCATGTCCCCACCATGATGCTTTTAAAAGAGGTGTCGAGTTGTGAACACTGCTGGCTTCTATATCTGCCCCTTTCTCAATAAGGAGCCGAACAACAGCCTCGTGTCCCCCTTCCGATGCGTCTAGAAAAGCTGTCGAGTTGTGAAATCTGCCGGTGGTCTCAATATCTGATCCATTTTCAATCATGAGAATGACAGTTCGATGCAATCCTTCCTTGCATGCAGTTTGGAACGAAACTGTGTCGATATTTGCTCCATTCTCAAGGAGGATGCTGGCAGATAGCTCATTATCATTCTCCAAAGCACAGATAAGGGGGCTTTTCCCCCCATCATTTCCCTCGTTGGGGTCGAGACCCTGACGCAGAAGAAGCTGAATAAGACTTGTACGACCTTCCAAAGCTGCCCAGGTAAGCGGGGTTTGACCTCTGTACCGCTTAAGGTCTTTTCTGCTGTTGAAACCTTCCATAATATCGACCTCATTGTAGATGCTGGAAGGTATGTTCAATAAAGCAGCGACAGCATCTTTATTGCCGCTAGAAATAGCGGCAAAAAATGGATACCTGTACCGCTCCCTGCACGCCCGGTGAACATGCGGGTCGCACTTGGACCATTGCCGAATTAACTTTGGATGCCCCATGTCGGCAAGTATGTAAATGAGAGTTGCAAGTGATCCATAATGTCGAATTTTGAAGTCTTCAAACACGTTGTTGATTTCGATCCATTGTGGAAGTTTGAATTCATTGAAATCCTCCAAGAATTCACATTGGGGAATAGATTCTACCGCTCTCTCAGAGTGATAGAGCAACTGCTGACAGGCATAGGCTGAAAATGGATATGTACTGACAGTATCCATCCGTGGCTCGGTGCTCGATTTGAACTTGGGCGAAGAAATATGAGCATAGACGTGATTGAGATAGACATCGCAACTTTTTTTCAGCGTTTCATGGCCCGAGTCTTCCCAGTTAAGACCCAATTCTGGCCACATTTGATAGAGACCTTTGTCTTTGATCAGAAAATCCCTGACAGATATATGAACTGCACTATTGGAGTCTTGGACTTCGTGACCTCGGCGAGGCCTTTCGAAGAGCTGATGACGCATCTGGTGAACCTACTCAAGCTGTCACTTGAATCTGGGTCACCGAAGACCACTGGCTTATCATCGACTAGGTCTTTGAGTGCGAGCCCGGACCAGAGAGCGTGGTAAAACTCCTTTGGTTGGAGGGGACGCTTTGCATAAAGAACCCAGAGAATACAAAGAAGAAGCTCCTCCATATTCTCATTATCCCGCCTGAGAATGTCTTTAAACAATTCGCTCAAGTCACTCGGTATCTCATTCAGCCTCCTCCGTAGATACAATCCACCTCGTCGGTATTCTTTGTTGAGGATGTCCACAACAAGGACTACCCACATAAAGACACCTGCTGCCTTCTCGAGAAGTTGTGGCCGTAGGTCTGCGTTCAGAGCCGAGTCTTGGATTTGAAGGCGGCTTGTAACATAGGTCTCTAGATCTTGGGAATGGCCCATCTGGTCCTCAAGCGTGAGTCGGATCCCTTGTTTGATCGTGATGTAGGGATAATGGCGACTAGAAAAACAAACTTTGAATAGAACATTTTCAGACACAGATTGTTCGGCAAGGTCTTCAAAGTACTGAACCATATCCACAGCTTGCTGTTCATCGCACTCGTCGAGGGCATCAACAAAACAGGTCAAGGATCTCTCGCCAAGGCCCAAGACTGCAGTGCCGAAGAGATCTTTCAGAACATTTAAAGAAGTGCATCCGTGCGAAATAACATCAGAGTCATCCAGCACTGACTGGAGGTCAGGATACCCTTGAAGAAGCTGGAAGAGCAATGATCGATACATCCCTAAAATGGATCTTTCTAAGTACTCGCCTCGGGCATTAAAGAAGAACGAGACAACAAGTGACTGCTTCTGGCTCTTTTGTACTTTCTTCTGCATGTTCAGGCAGGCGAACTTCATGATTGTTGACTTTCCAGCACCTGGTTTACCACTAACCCATAGAAATCCATGGTGATGCATTAGTCGTACTGGGTCCAGCCAAGCTTGATAGTCCGGATGTTTGAGAAACCATCGGCATGTTTTTGCATGGGCCGCTTTGATATTCAATTTCCGGGAGGCGATTTGGTCAAATTTCAAAGAGTCTAGCAGACTCTGTCGATGGTCCTGTGAGCTCTCTTGTGCTGTAAAGTATCAACTACCGTAGGCTATGACCTGGATGAAACGGAACATAAGCTCACCAGTATTATGTTCAAAACTTGAAGCAGGATTGCGATTGCATTCGTTTTCGGTCATGGACAACTCTCCGAGCAACTCTCTTGCATATGCAGCTGCCGTCGCTGCGGCATATCTCTGCCAGCCCTTGCTCTTGTGAGAGTCTGAGTAGTCGCAAATCCCGCGTATTATCAGGCACGGTAAAGTGTCCATCAAGCCCGCTGCTTCCATCTCGAAGCATATGACTTTCAGCTGCTGAGCAAGGTTGTCTCTGGTGGGCCCGCTTTTCATCACTTGATTTGCCGAAGCAATTGGGCCGTAGTGTATTGCAATGTCGCTGGAGGGTCTTTTGCCCCGCTGGACTAAACTCGACTGATCGCATTGATCACAGTCTTGGTAAATAAGCTCATGATCGTAGTTGGTATCAAAAAGGCGATCCGGCAATTTCGGGCGACAATAAGCAGGATGATCTTCAAGCCTTTGGTTCAGGATGTACGATATCTGACTAGAGCTTTGTTCATGCTCCGCTCGTAGAGCAGAAACCGCAGTGCTCAGTAGTTGGTGCGGGAATCTGGGCGAGGCTGTCGTCTGTAGCTCTCCATCACCGACAGTTTTACCAAGGTCATACTGCACAACTCTTGATCCAACCACAATGTCTCCAAGTCTTATATCGTTCGCCTTGCTAGGCACACCACCGCCGATGCCGACCAGCAATCCCGCTCTAATCGATGGAAAGGTTCGTGTCAAGTTAGTTACAACATTGGCCGCATTTACATTTCCATACTGATTGGATGGTAGACATGCAATCACGACATTGTGCTGTTTGATCCTTCCCAGCTTGTATGTGTTGTTGTCACCGGGGTGTGTCGGTAGTGGGGTATGTTTCTCATCCAGCATGATGAGGGCTGCTGCCATCTCGATAGGCAGAGCACAAATCCATGCTACAGTATATGAGTCATGTCTCAGAGTAGAAACATCACTGGAGTGACTTGTTTTCTGTCTCTTTGCGACTCTATGGCTATCGGTGCTGGAATCGCTCTCGTCCATTTGGGGTGATTGACTTGGCCTATTCTCTGGTGCTGAGCAGCCAGGGAACGGCCTGGTAGGCAGAGGCGTACAGAGCGGAGTAAAGAGGAAGGCTTTTAATCTCCGAAAAAAGGATTGACTGATGTTGTAGTCAGCTTGTTTTGAGAGAAAAGAAAAGAAACCAGAGGGAAGGGAGCTCCGCAAGAGTTGGGAGACCACGGGGAAATGACTTCCAACACCAAGCGCCTCGCCCTCCGTATTATGATTGGAACAACAGCCTCATTTGGGGCGGAGTCGAGGCGCTGCAGGCAAAACATCTGATTGGACAAGTCATGCAGATGTATGTATGAGCAGGGCAGACAAGCCTGTTGTCCTGTCCTATACTTTACCGCCAGATCAGTCTCGAACATGGCTGTGTAGACACATTCTGCGATTTGCGGCTGAAAGTCCTCAAGGAGTCTTGATTCAGTCTCTCGTTTCGATGAATACCTCAAGGTACCTAGGACGGACATGCTCGGCCCGACCCACCTGTGGGGCTGATCGAGTCCCATACACCCTAGGATTCTACCGACCAGGAGAACGTGTATTTTGAAAATGGTTAGCCAGCTATAATCCAACTGTTATAAGAAATAAGCGATTTGAAAGGCCACTGCGGAAGGACATTCACAGTACTAGATTTTAAATAGTAGTGCCGCTAATATGATAGTGGCACCAATTATGGTAGAGGTGGCTCGCAACGGCAATCGGTCACCACTTTCATAATTGGCGAGAGAGATGGTCATAGAAGGAATCTGCAAGAATGAGAAAATATGTGAGATGAAAGGACCTAGATATAGGAGTGTTGACTGACTAAGCCTGTGCAATGGGACAAACGCTCTGATATTGCGTCCCAGGCCGCCGCCGACCTTCTCGCCTACAGCTATTATAGAATTTTACTACTATTTTGTTAGTACTACTAGTACATACCCCAACTCAGTTAAAGCATGAATGACTGGAGTTAACATTTTTGCATGATTGCTAGCTATCGCTTGCCTAAAGGGTAACATAAGATACATTCCCAGAAACACCTAATTGATCCGTTGAAAATAGAATCCTTCACATAAAGCTAATCCGAATAACCGCAGAAACCCGAAATTTTGACTCCGCGTTCCATACCCGTCTTCCCCTTATCCCATGGAGAGCACAAATTCAAATGGAAATCGAGAGCATCACGAAAGAAAAAACGAGCAGATCTCGACAGCAACCTAACCAAGCGGAGTCCGAATAGTACCACACTGTCGGTCGTAGTGTTCGAAGATCATGCGCACAAGCTTGAGATCATTCAAGGCATCGGCTGTATCTGTTTTCGCAGTCACGTTTCCACTGAAGAAGGAGTACATATCTTCGAACTGTCGTTCGTATGCTTCGGCAACGGTGCTCGTGTGAACGGTTCTCTTGATGCGAGAGTTGGCGACGGGACTGGTTCCATTCGAACCATTCGAACCATTTTCAGCTGAACCATTGGCTTTTGCCTCGGGAGTCTCAGCCTCCTCAACAATGACACGCATAGCGCCTTCGCCAGATCCAGAAGGACAGGGGAAGTCGTATTCCAGAGTGATCGTCTTGCCTGCGCCGTAGACGGTGAGGTGGGAGTCGCAGCGGGGAACGGCGTCGATGCCCGCTTCGTAGATCATTGTGAAGGGGTGTTCTACCTTGGTGTTATCGGTGTAGTGGAACATGGCGCTGTAGAAGGGATCGGTGATGGAGATGTTGGCGACGGCGTCGGGGTAACCGAATGATTCTCGGACGAGGGAGAGATCGTGCGAGCCTGTTGTGCCGAGGAAACGGGCGAAGGCGATTCGGTCGGAGGTGATATCGTCTGTGTTTCCAAAGATGTCTGTGAGTAGGGTGTGGAATTTGGATGTGTTGATGATTGTGTTGGGGACGGTTAGGGAGCCGTTGGTGCTGGAGCTTCCGTTTAGATTCAAGCTCAGATTATAGGCATTGCCGAGGCCATCGATGCTGTCACCATTGGACGACTGGGAGGCGGGTGCTACTAGTGGACCGGCGATGTTTCGGCATCGTGCATAGTAAATTCGGTCTAGGGAGGCGAGTTCATTCTTGAAGTTCTCTGTGAAGCAGGGGGCGTAGCGGCGGGCGCACCCAACAAAGACCTTTGGGCCGCCTTCGAAGCGGGAGTTGACTGTGCCTTTTTTGGTAGCGGCGCGGATGCGTCGGAGGCCGTCGATGCTGAGGGTCAGTGGGACCTCGACCATGACGTGTTTGCCGGCTTCGAGGGCCGCGATGGTGTGTTGCTCATGGTATTCGAAGGGGAGGAGGTTGAGAACGAGGTCCACGTCTGGGTTATTTAAGACATCAGAGGTGGATGTGGTGATCTCTTTGATGTTGAAGCGCTTCTGGCAGCGATTGAGAGAATCGGCGGAGGCATCGTGTAGGATGGTAAGGCTGAAACGTGTGGGGAGAGCGTGGAGAGCTGGCAAGTGGATGGACTCGGCGGTCTGAGAGGCGCCGAGGATGCCGAGCCGCAAGACCGGGGTGGCGTTGAGCAAGACCATGATGGTAACAGGGGTCAGATCCAGTTAGATCAGATCAGATCAGGTTTGATGTTTGATGTGTTGATGTGAGATCAAAGTGAGAGGTGAAAGGATATGTGTATTGAAGGGAGAGAAGAAAGGGGAGCAAAAGTGAGCAAGAGAAGTCAGTTGAAAAGCTTGGGACCAAACTCGAAAGAAGTAGGTACCTTAGGTACTTACAGTACTAATAGTAATACTGTAGACGGTTTCAAGGAGTCAAGTTTGGTATGCTCGGCAGTGACATCAGTGCACTCTCACCGTGTTGGACATGTTAGACATGGTTGGTTCATCCTCCCCAGAATGCGACCGTGGGTGAATCTATTGGGTCCATTGGATTGGGGGATATGTTGTATCACATTAGGTACAGATCTATGAGTATTCTACAGAGTATAGTTAACTAGTAAAAATACTTGTAGTACTGTCTAAATGTACAGTAGACTAGATCGGGTAGAGTGGAGTCAGGTGGGCCAGGCACCGAACACATCACAAACGTAAACATAAACATACAGAGTACATAGTGCTATCATAGTGTTATGCAGAGTGACCTGGCAGTATTAAGTAAATACTGGAGTACTCGAGTGACTGTCTAATTCTAGTACTACCAATATCTGTCATACAGGGAACACTATACAATGTATGCTACTATACTATACTAATAGTATGCTCAGCCTCAAGCACAGCCTCACCTTCAGCCTTGCCTCATTTGGATGGCGCCTAATCCACTGCGTCATCGCCATCGCCTTTCGTTTCCCTCTTTCAAGTTGTGCTTACCATCTACTTTGCTCGCTCACCATGGGTGTATGTATTTTTTTGCTACTTTTCTACTCTCTTCCATCCTTCATTCTTCATCAGCTAATTGCCCCAGTTCGCTTCCAAAATCGCAGCTAGTCAGCAGAACCAGCAAAATCAGCAGAATCAGCAAAACCCGCCAAGTCAAAACCAGAACATGAGTGGCTCCTACGGCGGCGCACCCCCAACGGGATACACAGGTGGTCCTCCTCCCTCTGCATTGCAGGCTGGTGGATATGTAAGTCAATACTCGATCAGGCCATCTGGCGACGTCATGGCGGCGAGAATGTGTGTGAGAGAGAGAGAGAGCAAGTTGTTGACACGCAGTTTTACAGCAACAGCAGCAGTACCAGGCTTATCCTGGATCCCCTCCTCCTTCTCAGGGTTCGGTAAGCTCCCTTCTCCATCCATCACTCTAGTCCTTCCATCTTTGTTCTTTCCCCCCCTCTCTTCCCCACTTCGTTTATATTTTTGTTTTTCCACCTTTTCTGGCGGTTACCCCTCCATCATCCACGATACCCCACGGTCTCTCTCGGTCCTTTGGCTCCATCAGTCACCATGTCAGGCCACTACTCCCAACAGGGATATCAGCAATATCCTCCGTATGGTGGCTCACCTGCTCAGCAATACCAGCCTTACAGTCCTCCGCCTGCCGGTTCCTACAACAGAGCTCCTCCGCAACAGCCCACTGGCTACCCCGCACCGCAAGGTCAGCAGGGCCAGGGCCAAAGTCAAGGTTATGCACGTCCAGCACCGCCGCCACCGCAGGGCCAGCCTTATGGATCGTCGGGATCGCCCTACCCCGGACAACAGGCTCCTTATCCTGGAACCTCCTCGTCGCCATACCCTCCCGGTCCACCTTCGCATTCACCTTACCCTGGACAACAATCGCAATCGCCGCACCCTGGAGCCCACTCCCCATACCCTGGACAGCAACCACCCTATGTACAGATGAGCCCTATGTATCCCTAATACTGCGTTGAGCTTTGTATCGTGCTTGGCGACGGAGTCTACGTCATGTTGAATTTCAGAGGATCCCAGATGCTAACCCCACGCCTCTCATAGAGCCAGGCACCTCCTTCCTACCCGCCCCAGGGCGCTCCTCCATCTGGATATCCCCCTCAGGGTGGCCGCCCCGGCCCTTCACCAGGACCTCCTGGTGGCCAGTATGGTGCTCCCGGCGGTGCCCCTCCGTCCCAGGCCCCTGCAGCTACTCCACAACAAGTTGCAGCATATCGCCAGCTGTTGATTAGCACCATTCAAGAGAAGAACCTGCAGCCTTTCTACCCACCAGAGCGTCTGGACCGCCTGGTACAGAGCCTGGTGAACGAAGCTCCAGGCAAACTCCAGAGACTCATGCACGAATGGGCCGTGCCGATGGAAGTCGCGACAGATGTCATGAAGCTCTCTCTATTCGACGTCATCCTCTATGTGGACGACAGTGGCTCAATCGAGTTTGAGGAGAAGGGACTCCGTAAGGATCAGCTGAGGCAGATTCTCGGTCTCGTTGCGACGGCCGCGTCTACCTTCGACCAGGACGGTATCTCGGTGCGATTCATGAACTCGACCGAGACCGGCGATGGTATCCGTAACGCCGACGATGTCAACCACTTGGTCAGCCGGGTTCGCTTCGCAGGATTGACACCCTTAGGCACGAATCTGAAGAGCAAGGTGCTCGACCCGATGGTCGTGGGCCCGGCCCGCGCCAACCGTTTGGACAAGCCTGTTCTGGTGATCACCATTACTGATGGACAGCCGGCCGGCGAGCCCCACGGTGCTGTGGGCGACGCTATTCGCTATGCGGTTGAGGAGACTTCACGCACTCGATACGGTCGTGGGTCGGTTTCGTTCCAGTTCTCGCAAGTAGGAACTGATCAGCGCGCCCGCGATTTCCTTGGAGAACTGGATGAAGATCCGCAGATCGGCCATCTGATTGATTGCACCTCGAGTAAGTGAAAGTTGACGATCCAAGTGCGATAATAGAGTGAGACTGATGATTTCGCGATAGATTTTGAAGTGGAGCAGGATGAGATGTCTCGAGCCAATCCGCCTATCCACCTGACTCGTGAGCTTTGGGTATGTTTAGATTTCGTCCAACTTCTCAGTTTCGATTTCTCCCCTGTTATTTCCCATGCTGATTGATTCTATAGTGTGCCAAGCTTATGCTGGGAGCCATCGACTCTTCGTATGACACCAAGGATGAGAAGACCTCACGTTCTGGACCCCCACCCTCACAACAGGGCTCCTATGGCGGATACAATCAGCCGCCGTCGGGACCTGGGCCATCTGGGCCTGGAGCTGGAGGGTATGGGGCACCACCCGGGGCACCACCCCCCGGCTATCCTCCCCAGGGCCACAGTCCACAACCCGGCTACCCCCCCTCAACACCAGCAACAGCAACAACAACCCTCATACTCGGGTGCAAGTCGACAAGCGCCAGGATATGGACCGCCCCAGCAACAGTATGGATATGGCGGGTCATCGCCGCACCCTTCTGGAGGCGCACCAGGGTATCCGCCAGCTGGCGCGTATCCTCCGCCACCGCGTCGCTACTAGTGACGTCAGGGGGCACACTAGGGGCTCCACTTCCTTAAATTTGTCTTTGGTCTTTGGTCTTTTTCTTTTTTTCTTTTCCAAGTTTGACTTTTGACATTTACCTTATTCTGTGACTCTTGTTGGGGGTTAGCCTCAGGGGGTGATGGGGTAGTAGAATGGCGGGGGAATGTCAACCCACGTTTCTGATCCACTGGCCTCAGGTACACAGTACACAACACGGAGGACGGAGTGCATATTCCAGAAGTAGTAGACGAACCGGTCTGTGCATCTAGCGTGTAGTGATCGGCAGTTGCCAAGGTCTGAAGAAGACGTACTCCGTGCAAGGCTGTATCTGATCCTGTGGTGCTACAGTAGACCAGTACTCCGTAAGGCAAACGAAGTTGCCACATAGAGAAGGTGGCCAGTGGGAATTGGAGAAATGGCCTTCTAGAAGCATACCGGTTCCATGGGAATACTCTGTACAGATAATGTGTACGCATTAACACCATCCACGGTTGCGTCTAGACGTGCTAAGAATATCCACCTCTTGGCACTTCTGGGGCTGTGTTGCTCTGCTCTCACTCTCTTTCACGCCTGATCTCTACTGAATCCTGTATTTCCCTCGCTGCAACCGTCTCCACTCAATCCAAATCAACTCCCAAACATTTTTCTTCCTCGATTCTCCAGTTTAACCGTTGGACTGGGTTAACTTTATCTTCCTTTCGGCTTTTTTGGTTGTCCTGAACCGCTTCAAGCCTTTACCCGCATTCGGTGCAGTCCGATGGTACTTGGCTTTGACATACTGCCTTGCCTTTAGGCTACCCTTTTATCGTCCTTAGTTCTCCCTCCACACTTGCCATCTCCCTAACCCGACCCTTCGTGTCTCATCCTCCCCCTCTCTATACCCCTCGTTCACCACCGATCACCGGAGATCGTTGCATTCTCTGCGAGATCGCGGTCTGACCGTGAACGCCACACCATCACCATCCACCACCACCATCCTCGCGGTATGCGGTAAAAAGAGGATGAATCCTCGTTTGAACCCCTCTGATTAGACCGACCGCTGTGTGAATCCATTCTAGAAGGCATCTGGGGACACTTCCAGATTTCCAGACGATCACCGATCGTCGCCTTCGCGCAGGCTTGATCCACGACGCATTCCCGCCATGACCAACCACGATGAAGAGAACACCCGACCGGACGAGCAGCCCGACATTCTGAGGCGTCCATCCTTGCTCTCGTCGCGTACCATGACCGACTCGGGTCGCCGCGCCTCTCATCAACACGTGCGATTTTCCACAGATCTCGAGAGGCCGATCGATGACCGCGCCAGCACTACCAACACCAATCCCACTGCCAGTGCGAGCATCACTGACAATGCCAATGGCAATGATAACGCTGATACCGACCGTCGCCCTGGCTCACGAGGCCTGACCATCGACACCAGACTTGCGCCGCCAACCGTCCAGTCTCCCGCTCGCTCGCCGACCTCCCCCCTTTCCCCGAGTGCCATCTCCTCGAATGCCAACCCTCTCGCCGGTGCGACCCTCTCGCCAACTTCGCCGCAGAGTCCAGAGTCCTCCAACGGTCGCTCCCGATCGCGCAATCGTGGTTACTCGCTGCGTCGGTCCATCTTCAATAAAACCATCCAGACCTCTGATCAAGATGCCTCTCCCACGTCCCCTGACGCCAGCCCTCGGGCATCGGTTGAGATTACCGAAGCTCCTCCCCCCAGCGCACCTAGCCCGATCGACGAAAAGAATGAGCTACAAGTGCTTCCTACAGCCTCAATTGAGGCGCCCACCAAGGACGAAGTCGCCACCTCCGTGTGGTCTGATCCCTCGGAAGGCCCGTTGAAGGAATATATGTCTGTGGCTCAGGGCGAGTGGAAGAAGAAGAAGGCCGCCGGAGCGGTTATCATGACTCGCGTCGAGGCATTCATGACCACTTTGCAAAAATTCATTTTGCGAATTAAAGATATTCCACCAACCAAGGACGGCCGCCACATCGATCTCAACCCGTCGTTAGTTGATACCATGATCGATGAGCGCACCGCAAAACCGTACATCGCCAATTGGATTCGCTCGAGCCGCTATAGCTTTTGGAGTTTCTTCCCCGACAGTTCTTTGCGCAGTTCACAAAGTTGGCCAATTTCTATTTCTTGGTTGTTGCCATTTTGCAGATGATCCCGGGACTGAGTACGACAGGAACTTACACTACTCTCGTTCCGCTTTTGATCTTTGTAGGTATCTCGATGGGAAAGGAAGGATTTGATGACTGGCGCCGATATCGTCTCGATAAGGAGGAGAATAATCGATACGCTTGGGTTCTTCGACCTGGTCAGCTGCCTGTCACGGATGGCGCGGCCATGGCCAGTGGTGCTCACGACTGGGTCGAGATCAAGTGGCAGGAGATCCGTGTTGGTGATGTGATCAAGCTCCACCGTGACCAGCCCGTTCCTGCGGATTTCGCCCTACTACATGCCACTGGTCCTAATGGGGTCGCCTACATCGAGACCATGGCCTTGGACGGTGAGACAAATCTGAAGAATAAACAGCCATGCCAGCCTGTCGCCAAGGCCTGTGCCACTGTTGACGACATTGTCAGCAATGCGTTGCACTTTGTTGTCGAGGACCCGAATATCGACCTCTACAAATTCGACGGCCATGTCACGGTCAATGGGCAGCAGAAGCTGCCTCTCACAAACAATGAAATCGTCTACCGTGGTAGCATTATGCGCAATACTGATTGCGCATACGGTATGGTTATCTATACCGGCGAGGAGTGCAAGATTCGCATGAACGCGAACAAGAACCCGCGCATTAAGAAGCCTGCTCTGCAAGGAAAGGTCAACCGCGTGGTCATGCTCATTGTGCTGTTGGTTCTGATTTTAGCTGCTGCGTGTACTATCGCCTACACTTACTGGTCTGATGAGGTGGAGAAGAATTCCTGGTATCTGGCCGATGCCAGTGTGCAAATTGGTCCGATCTTCACCTCATTCCTGATCATGTTCAATACCATGATCCCTATCTCACTCTACGTCAGTATGGAGATCGTGAAGGTCGTCCAGATGTTCCTTCTTAACGACATTGACATGTACGACCCGGAAACCGATACACCGCTCGAAGCGCGCACTTCCACCATTAACGAGGAGCTCGGTCAAGTGAGCTACATTTTCTCCGACAAGACTGGTACTCTGACGAACAACTCAATGCGCTTTCGCAAGATGAGCGTTGCGGGTACTGCCTGGTTGCACGACTTCGACCTGCAAGAGGAGGCTGCTCGCGAAGGCGACCAGCACAAGCTCATTCACAAGAAACGGAATCTGAAAGGCAAGAAGGCTGCAAACCGCAAGTCGAACGTTTCCGACGCTCGCATGGCTCCTCGTCCTTCTAATATCTCCACCGGCCTGGATGCCCTGCGGCCCCATGGCCGCACTGCCAATTATCGCACAGCCGAAATGCTCGAGTATATCCAGCGCAAGCCTTACACCGTCTTTGCTCGCAAGGCCAAGCTCTTCCTCCTGTCCATCGCCCTTTGCCACACTTGTATCCCCGAAGAGGATGAAAACGGCTCCGTTACCTTCCAAGCTGCCTCTCCCGATGAAATGGCTCTGGTTTTGGCCGCACAGGAGCTCGGTTACCTCGTTTTAGATCGCCAGTCCAATTCGCTTACCATCCGCAATCACCCCAATGGTTCCAACGAACCCGCTGTGGACGAAACATACGAGGTTATGGATGTGATTGAATTTTCCAGTGCACGCAAGCGTATGTCGGTTGTCGTTCGCATGCCTGACCAGCGCATCGGCGTCTTCTGCAAGGGTGCCGATACTACGCTCATGCGACTACTCAAGAAGGCTGATCTGGCGCAAGAGAAGGCGGCCGAGATCGAACGACGTGTCAGCAAGCGCAAGGCTGCCGAAGCGAACCAAGTTATTCGTCGCAATAGCGAGTACCAGAGCCGCAAGGATAGTGGTGTCCGCAACAGTTTTGCGAGTCGTCCTAGCTTTGCTCGTCGTCGGTCTTCGGTCTCGGGTAATCATACCTCGACCCTGCGTCAGAGTATTGATGTTTGGCTTCGTGATCGTGAGACGGATGGTGGTATTCTCCACCGCGATGATCCTGAGTATTATAGTCCTCGTCCTTCGGCGCAGATGGGTAGATTCTCGACTGCGATTTCGGATTCTGGAAGCGAGACCAATGGGGAAGAAGATGAAGATTTGGTCGAGGAGGCTCTTGTTGTCAATGAGGCTGCCATCTTTGAGAGATGCTTCCAGCACTTGAATGACTTTGCGACAGAGGGTCTGCGGACCCTGCTCTATGGCCATCGATTCCTCGACGAGTCGAGCTACCAGAGCTGGAAGACCGCCTACCATGAAGCGAGCACCAGCATTGTTGATCGTCAGCAGAAGATTGAGGAGGTTGGTGAGCAGATTGAGCAGCAGCTGGAGCTGACTGGCGCCACTGCCATCGAAGACAAGCTGCAGAAAGGTGTTCCCGAAGCGATCGATAAGCTGCGTCGTGCTAATATCAAGATGTGGATGTTGACCGGTGACAAGCGGGAGACTGCCATCAATGTTGGTCACTCTTGTCGCTTGGTCAAGGAGTACTCGACTTTGACTATTCTCGACTATGAGAATGGTGATGTCGAGGAGACTATCAACCGCCTTACTCAAGAGCTCAACCACAGCAAGGTTGCCCACTCTGTCGTCGTTGTGGATGGACAGACGTTGTCAACTATCGAGGCTGACGAAACCATGCGTGAGCGTTTCTTCGATCTTGCTATCAAGGTCGACTCGGTTATTTGCTGCCGCGCCAGCCCGAAACAGAAGGCGTTCCTAGTCAAGTCCATTCGCATGCAAGTCAAGGATTCTATCACTCTTGCGATCGGCGATGGTGCCAATGATATCGCCATGATCCAGGAGGCCCACGTCGGCATCGGTATCACTGGCAAGGAAGGCCTACAGGCTGCGCGTATCTCGGACTACTCCATCGCGCAGTTCCGCTTCCTCCTGAAACTGCTTCTCGTTCACGGTCGCTGGAACTACATGCGCGCCTGCAAGTATACGCTCGGCACCTTTTGGAAGGAAATGCTCTTCTACCTGACGCAAGCCCTATACCAGCGATGGAACGGATATACTGGAACCAGTTTGTACGAGTCGTGGAGTCTGAGTATGTTCAATACTCTCTTCACCTCTCTCTGTGTCATTTTCTTGGGAATCTTCACCAAAGACCTTTCGGCCTCGACTCTCCTCGCTGTACCAGAGCTCTACACCAAGGGTCAGCAACACGGTGGCTTCAACATTCGCCTCTGGCTAGGCTGGACGTTTATGGCTACCTGTGAAGCAATGATCATCTTCTTCTGCATGTACGGACTCTTCGGCATGATCCACATCAACCCTAGCGACATCGATACCTTCGCTCTGGGTCTGCTTACCTTCTCCGCCTGCGTCGTTGTCATCAACTTCAAGCTCCAACTCCTCGAAGTCCACAACAAGACTTACCTCTCCATAATCATAATCGTTATTTCTGTCGGTGGTTGGTTCCTCTGGAATCTCATCCTCTCGGAGCGCTACAAACTCGAATCCGGAAAGGGCGTCTACGATGTCCCCGATAACTTTATCCACCATGTCGGCCACAACCTCCTCTTCTGGACCGTCCTTCTCATCACCGTCGCCTCAGTCCTCCTCTTCGAGTTGACAGTCTCCACACTCCGCGCCTTCTTCTTCCCCACCGACGTCGACATCTTCCAAGAATACGAACAAGACCTCGACATCCGGAAACGCTTCGAAGAAGCCGCCGCCTCAGAACTCCAACAAGGCTGGGACCGCGGTACAAAACGCTCCTCTTTCGAAATCGCCCGCGAGAACGAAGAAATGGACGCAAGAGAAAGACACGTTCAAGAACTCCTTTCCCGTCCCCGCGTGATGACCGGCCCTTCTTCTTCCCCTGCACAGAAGCCCGCTGCGCAGGAAATCGAGGTCGAAGGCGAAGGAGGCAGTTACTCCGATCTGTCCGATTCTCGCGTTGACAGTGAGCGGGAACTTGATGCCGATCTTGAGCGCGCTCGTCAGGTTGCTGGGCAGGTTGTACAGGTTGTTCCTGCCCCGCAGCCTGCTGTCACGACGAATGGTGGCAATCCCGCTGTACCCTCCGCTCCGGCGCCGGACAGCCCCTGTGCGCCTCGACACTCTGTCGAGATTCATGAGCTCTTTAGCCAAGGCTTTGGGTCTATTCGGAAGGGTCAGTTGAAGTGATGGAAGTGAAGTGAATTCGTCTTCTTCTATCATGGCTATACCTTCCCCTTCCTCTTTTTCTTCTTCCTTTTCTCAAACTCTATACTTTATTGAATAAGACTTGTGTATATCATGTATATGTGGGGGGGTGGCTTGGTGAAATGCCTCTGTTTCTATTTCCGTTTCCGGCTCCGTTTATGCTTTCCTTACCCCGTCTTCTCAGCATCGGTCATTCCCTCATAGCGTTTGCTTCTTTCCCCCCTTTGATGTTTTGGATCATATCTTCCCTTCGTCGTCTTTCCTTTCAGTCATCCTCATCGTCCTGGATTGGACGCAAAAGGCGTTGTTTGTTGAGATACCCCGACTTTTCTGTTTAAGTCTGGTCTTTTTTCTTCCTTTCTTCTGTGGTTTGGTTTTTTGTTTCTAGACCGTGCCTACCCTAGTTAAATAGTACATACCATGAAGAGAATTTTTCTTATAGAGATTATTTGCTGTGTTTACTTGTGTACCTAGGTATTGGATTACGTCTTGATATTCTTAGGTCGCGGGTCTACCGATTATTGCTACATTTAGATCTTCGATAGCGTTGACAGTTGACAGGCATGGGATATAAACATTCTGTTTCTAAACTCTTCACTGCCTCGCGCGACTAATAGGTGGCTACTAGTTAGTAAGTCTACTAGTAGAGTACGTGAACTGATGAAAACTCCCTCCAGGGCTGGAGCACTCTCGTCAAATAGACACAATACTAGTAGACTTGTTACGTAAAGTGAGATTGGAGAAAGGTGAAAATCTGCCAATCAACCTTGGGACAATATTCTAGTGATACTTAATTTATGTGATTCCACCTTGAACAGCACTGATTTTACTACTACAGTATGGTCAACTTGAAGCTGTTTTCGAGCCTCAGGCATCCAAAATCGCCTTCTCTGTTACGGTCCAAGGTTCTCTCCAAGATAATCCTGTCAGTCACATACATCCACCACTTTCATCCATTAATGTTTCTGAGCATCTGTCGCCTTCGCTTAGGTCCGACAACATCCATGTGATCTTAAAGTTTCCGATTTAACTGGAAGATTTGAGCGAGATATCACTTCTAGTGACGGATATGTTTTGAGCTAACTAATCCGTGCATGCGAGGAACACTTTCTAATATGTACTACCGAATACCTATTCCTCGTCAAAAAGCAAGATAACACGGACACCACCCTTAGCCAGACCAATCGGCAGAAAAATCCGCTGCGATAAATCGCAGGCAATACGGTATGAACTAGAAACACTGTGGCCTACCTAGACCATCGAGTCGCCTGACGCGACACGAGCTACGACTAGCTCTTACATGCAGGCGTTACCCCGGATCTCAACGTTGGGAGAAAATAGGGACAGGGTATGGATTCCAAATCAACTGTCAAACTCGCAGGGTTAGAAACGCTCGAATTGCGCGGTCACTGCCATCGCTCACCAGGTGTCTTGCAGCCTGCAGGCACCTGTCACGGCCGTGGGCAATTCCTGCCGAGATCCGATCGAATTAGAATTCGGATCCACTACGCTGGTCTCGGGAAAGGCGACGGCAGATTGCGAGTGATTCTGCCAGTTATTTTAGAGGCGTTCGCTTGTTTTATTTGTTTTCGTTTTCGAAATGGGGGTTGGTTGGGTATGTTTATAGGAGATGGATATGGAAGATGGGGTTGGATTAAAAGTTTGGTTCAGCTCGGCCCGGATCCAAACTGCACGTACCCGAACACCAAACCCATGGATCAAGTAATAACTCACGTTGTACGAAAGAAGCAATATGTTTGACAGGCTGACAGGACTCGTTGGAAATGTCCGATATGCAGTTCTCGGATACGCAGGGAGGTTTGTGGCTCTACGGAGTATGCAAGAGCGTTTGGCGTTACACAGCAGTAGTATTCTGCGATGGATTCGTTTATTGTAGGTATTTGGTATGCTTAAACTCGTTTGATATACATTCGTAATTGCCATTCTATTGATGACGCCTCCATCTAGAAAAGTCCGGTCTGTTAGTATTATGAACCGAGCAGAACGATTCTGGACAGGATTCTTCTTACTATGATCATTTAAAGCAGACCGATCACGATGTCACCGTAGATCTGGGCATCCAGGTCCAGGCGGACCTTCGCGTGCAGATTCAGGTGAATCTTGATGCGCAAGCTGCCATCCTTCTCGTCGCCGCCCTGGGTCTTTCCGGGGATTTGGAGACCGCTGGTAAGGCCGTCGGCAAGCTCGCCGGCCTGGCCGGTAGCATCGCCCACGGGGTCTTGGCCAGCCTTGCGGTTGCCTTCAGGACGGGTGGTGGTGGCGGGACTGGATGGGAGAGGAGGCAGGTTAGCTAGGTCTAGCTCCTCGTGTTGTGGCGTTTCATGTCTTGATCCCGGCGCTGGAGGCGGACGTGGCTTGTTCTTGGGCTTTTTGCCTTTCGACATGGGGTAGATATGTGATATGAAGAGTTGTGAAGGTAAAAGAAAGAAGAAAAAGAATGAATTGGGAAGAAAGGGTAGCTCAGGGAAGTAATTTACCTGTCGGACATTGTGGATGTCTAATACTATGGGAGACCGGAGAAGGATGGACGGGAGAAAGGAAAATATAGATCACTAGAACGGTGAGAGGAGAGCTGGTCTACTCGACAGAAGCCACTCTATGGGCTATTTCAAGTTTTTCATACCGGCACTTTGTTGAGCTTGGGACACAAGCTGAGCTTTACTTCCCTCGGTGATCTGCGTAGTGCTGGGTCCCAATCGAGTGGCTATCAAACTCTTTCCTGGGTCAATCTGGCTTCTCTTGTTCAGCTGCAGAGAAGATGATGCAATCTATGGAGACAAGAGTGGATTTGTGATCCACTCAAATCGAGCCCACTGCGTGCCATCGTCCTTCCTCCCCACTCTGCGGGCTGGAAACATTTCTTCTGTACGGAGTACGGAGTATGTATTTATCTGTTTTCTGGTGCCGATGTCGAAACCGCACCATCATCACCCCCTCCTAGCCCTAAGACCGCAACCCCGCCTCGATTACTCTTGAATTGTGCCTCAAGTCCGCTCAAAATGGTGCTGGGGGTAATCATGATGGCAACTATGTTGCCGACCATGATTGGTCTGAACGAGGCAACTCAGGGGAGCCGTGACCAGGAGGAGAACCGACGAACCACAGAGCGCAAACAGCGCGTTCACCTACTGGCCACCTGTTCTTTGAGCCAGGGCACTCCCGAACTGCGGCAACAGATTCAAAATGCCAAAGTCTATGTGGGTCTGGACGGGAAGGCAAGTTTCCGACCTGCATATGAGGCATTTGGACGAAACTGATACTGTTTTGTTTTGCACAAACAATAGTTTTATATCACCAAACACCCATCGTCATCTATGGTTCCCTTTAATGGAGGATTCTATCAACATCCCGATTTTCCTCCCAACAATACCTCTGGCATGGTGACCATCACCGGAGGGGAAACCCCCCACACTCCGATGGGTGTTCCTCGACGCCCAAACGCACGAGATGCGTTGGGGCGGCCGCCCCGACAGTCAGGATCACGTATGTGGGCCGTATAACTGGACCAAAGATGAGCAGTTCGTGACACTAGAAGGGTGGGAAGGGTGGTTGGCAGTACGATTGTCGGAAGATGAGGCCCGGGATCAGTCGGATCAGGAGCTGGGGATCGTCGATGGTCAAGAGCTATGGAGGTTGTATTTCGACCAAAATGACGACGGGGCCAATCTACCACCCGGTGCGCAAGGGCTAGAAATCCAACTGAAGCGAGTCATGGCAGAGTCATGAACGTGGTGGGGTCATGTATTATTGCGGTTGCTTCTTTCCTATCTGGGCGTTTTTCTTTCTTTTTTGTCGACAATTTTTCTGTATGTTGACCACCTGTGAATATAAGACTACTTACAATTTCTTGTTCACTTACCGCTCTCCCCATCCTGACGCACAAGGTGCTGATATAGTGGAGATCTCATGGGGAAGATATTCTCAGAATGGGTCGGTTTATTACCCTTCTTTTCTCTTTTTTTTTCTTTTCTTTCTTCTTGTATATGTGTAGTAATCAATTCTGGTAATAATCCTGCTTCCAGATTGTCCAAAAAAACATTAAAAATATTCCCTCTGACCGTATTGTTGGCAGTTTCTTTTTTGACGGCGCTTGCACATGCGTCCTGCAGTATAAACTCTTTGAAGTGCATACACCAACTGCATACTATGTACCAAACAATAGACTTTTAATCGCTGGGAATTTGCCACGGCACGGTGGTCCATACTGCCTCATAGTAAAGAGTGCTGTATTGAAGTTCAAAGTTCTGATGTGCTATTTAGCACTGACCTCAAAGGAAAAAAAACCGGGAAGGATTCGCGATCGCGCTAGCTACTAGCTTGGCCAAGTTGCCAGGACGAACAGTGGATCGGTACAAAAACACTGATTAATTACAGTACATGAAATTCCCGAGATCTGAGGTTTTGACAGCCGGTAACAAATGAGGGGTTTCCTTACCGAACACTGACTATTGGTCCATTCTCATGCAGCCAACCCCCATGGGAGCGCAATCGGTGGAGCACGCGCGGGTCTCGCCTCAGCCTCCCATTGACTCGGGCTCGAGCGTCAGTCTCTGATTGAGTATTGAACCGATGCGGATCTCTTCTTCAGCTCCAGCAGAACCAAGACCTTCCTCCGTCTCCACTTTGTTCTGCCACCTCCATTGATCCTCCACACGCCCCATTATACTAATGCACCTTGACGAAAACATCCGATCACTCGAACACTGGCCCAGCCGTGTCCTTTTTTGAGTCACGGATTTCACCGGTTGAAACAAAGCTATTTGGAATTCATTTTATTAGCATAATGGAGTCTGATAGTATGGTACATTCAAACTATACTTTAGAGCTGACGACTTGAATTTCTTGCCCTAACCGCCGTGATGATCTATCAATAGCTCCGCCCCAGCCGGGGCTCCCGCTGCAGCATGACAGGCTTCGTGCCCGGAGAAAATTTAAAAAAAGGTGATATGTGTCTCTCGGGTACCCGGGAGCACGTTCACCCTGTCACAGTGGGTCCCATCCATATGAAATCCTGTGTGGTTCGCGATCCAGTATCGATCGGCTACTCAGGAGAGGACCCAGGCACCCAACCCCGCGCGAAGATGACGACTGCTTGACCTGCCTTCTATGTACGGAGTAAGGAAAGCGGCATGTTCCCATGTAAATCGATCGACAGTTCGTCCGGATTACAGTATTGCCCACTTTTATAGCCATCTGGTCGGCTCGATTGGCTACCATCGTAAGGGCCAGACCCATATGTCATCTCCGCACCATATTCCAGGGGAGAAAAGTAGTGTATGTTTGCCAGCCAGCCATGTGCAGTGCACGGTACACACTTCGGTAACGACTACGAAGTACATGGGAGTATGACACCAAAGTACGCAGACTAGTAAGTAAACTACTGCCTCCTTATGCTTCAAACGACGCTATGTACCGGAGACTCCGAAAATTGGACTCCTAGATGGACAGATCTACTTGGTCCCCGTTTCTCTTTTCTTTTTCTTCGTGGCTCATATGTACATGTATGGATCTTTTACCATGTGGCTGTTTCACACTATTGGTGCCGAATCATATGTCACTATGATGATCAAGGTGGAGAGAAAGGCACAAGGCATCGAGTACGCTCACGCTACCATCCACCTGGCGGAGACGCGGGATAATTGGTTTTTAACAAAACTGAACACTCTGCTGGATTAACCAGCTATTGGACTGATTGTACTTTGGAACCACCTCGACTCGGACGCCAATGCAGGCATTGAAACCTTGACCGACCCAAATACAGCAAGGCCATGCAAGATACGTACATCATGGGAAACTAATGCCACACTAGACTTAGCTTTTCTGTCAAAGAGAAGCGGGGGAATTGAACTCTGCAGCTAATCGGAGATAATTTGAGGGGCGGAGGCGAAATTCGCGCCCACCCTGCAGCTGAAGCTCTATCCATATCCACTCTACTGATACCAAAAGGCGTAACCCTACATTACATGACTCCGTAGGAGCTTCCAATCCATATACTTCGCCTCCACAATCCAGCCACCTTCCAATTGAGAATGGAGATGTGGATTCGGAGGACCCTAGCTAGGATAGGAGGTGGTGGAAGTTCCACATGCTGAGCTGCTACAAAAGGCGTGGAATGCCTTCTCGAGATCATTTCTGCTTCTCAAACATTTTCTGAGTCTGATCCCTCACAAATGTGCCCACAGCTTTCCTAACTCTTTATTTTGTATCCTCTATCCTCTTTTCTCTTTTCTCTGACTCTTCGTCGCCAAATTGTCTCGATTACTTTGTTGTTTTCGGAGCTGTTGCTCACCATCAAAAGAAACGTCTGATCCAAATTCTCATCAACATCCTCCACGAGAAACAACCGCCCTCCTACAAAGCAATCCATTGGTATACACCGAAAGAGCATCTATCCCCGAAGCTCTCAAAATAAACAAAACCCGCAAATCACACACTCAAGAAACAATTATTACCGAATCAAATAACAAAATGGCTCCTGGTATCATTTCCCCGGTGCCGGGTACTCCCCTCTCTCCCCTCTACAACAACGGCTTCGGCTCGCGTCAGGTCTCCAGTGCTTCTGCTATGTTCGAGAGTGACAACATTTCCCAGAATGGCATGTCTCGCTCTGTGCGCCGGGAATCTGGAATCCCGCGCAAGCTGAATGGCGGCAACTCTCAGATCACCAGCGTTGTGAACAGCTGGTACACTCGCAGTGGCAATGAGCTCGGTGCTGGTGCTTTCTCTCGTTTGAGCCACAACCACACTCACCTTTCTATCATCGAATGGATTCGCCAGCAGCGTATGAGCCACCTGCCCGCTGAGGGTAGCAGCTACGATAAGGTGCTGGGCTGGGCGCAGCTGTTTGTCGAGCGTCTGCACTCCTTCGAGCTTAACATTCACCACTTTGCTGGTGACAGCCATCTTGCTACCCAGCTGTCTTATGGCTTCTGTGATCTGCTCCTCCAGGTAAATAAAGACCATTGACTTGACTTGAATTGGATGAAAACCAGGTTGCTAACAGACCTGTCTTATATAGCTTGGAAAAGAGAATGCAAAGGCTCTCATGCTCTCCTTCGGTTTCTTCTACAGCACCTCCTCCGTGCTCGTCAATCTGATGGAACGTACTGAGCTATTCGATGTCTCTCAGGAGATCAAGGAGCAGCTCATTCTCGCTCTGTCTGACTTGGTTAACCTGGTTGCGAGTGTCTCTATCCATTTCCACCAGGCCATCAACGACCAGACCACCGAGTCCGTCTCCGTCGATATCTACCACACCTTCCCCAGCCAAATTGGATCTTTCCGCGAGCGTTGCGAGAAGATCGCCGAGACTATGTGGCGCCACCAGCTTGTCCGGGAAGGTGTTGAGACTGATAAGGGTAGGTTTGAAATCTGCCTCATCCAGGCCAAAGAACTTTAGCTAATCACTGATCATTTGAATAGTTTCCGTTGTCAAGGCTGTCAAGTCCTGGCTCGCACCTGAGGACCGGGTCCTTAGCCACTTGGCCGAGAACACCTCCCACCTTGCCCATGAGCGTGAAGAGAACACCTGTCTGTGGATGGCTCCCCACCTGACCCGTTTCCTCAAGAGCTCTAAGTCTTCCCTGTCGTTCACTGGCAAGCCCGGTTCTGGAAAGACTGTCCTGGCCTCGGTCATCGTCGATCGTCTTCAGGATCCCATTGGTGGTGTCACCTACAAGACTCTCTTCGTCCCCATTAGTGAGTATACCCAAATTTATTCAGCACCTGCATTATCTTACCAACATTCCTCAATAGACGCCCGCATCCCCGCCTCAACCCAGCCCGTTGCCGTCGCGAAGGCCATTCTATATCAGCTTTTCGAGAAGCGTATTGGAAATGTTCCGCTGCTCCAAATTCTGGGCGAAGCTTATGAGCGTAGCCGCAAGACTACCTCTGCCGAGGACTACGAGGCTATCCTATGGAACGCCCTGGAGCGTGCTCTGGCTGCCGCCCTTCGCAACGCTAAGGAGCTGGTTATCATCGTTGATGGCCTCGATGAGGCTGCTTTCGGCGAGGCCGCTTTGCTGAAGAAGTTGACCACTGCTTCTGCCAATGGCACCAACGTGAGACTGGTTACTCTGGGCTCTGAGCAGCCTCCTGCTTCTGACAGCTTGCTCCATGTCCCGATCGTTGATTCGCGCATTGCCGACGATATCTCCATTGTTGTGCGCAGCAACTTGGAGCACAGCAAGGTCTTCCAACATATGCCTGAGATGGACCAGGAGACTGTGATTGATAAGATCTCTGAGGCTTCCAAGGGCTCTTTCTTGTGGGCTAAGCTTTGCTCCAAGCGTGCCCAACACGAGTCTTCTCCTGAGAACCTCACCAAGGCCGTTGATACTGTCATCAGCAGCAAGATCACCGTCACTGACTTCGTGATCCACACTTTGTCGAGCCCCGATGTCAGCGAGGATGCTAAGCATATGCTGCTCTGGCTCGCTACCGCCGACCGTCCTCTGTCGCCCCGTGAGCTCGTCGCTTTGAGCCAGGTTCAGCCCGAGAAGCTCACTGTGACCGACCGCAAGATCGAGCCAATGCAGATTCTCCAGCCATTGAGCTCTCTTATTTTTCTTCAGGATGGTCAGCTGTATCTGCGTCATGGTTTGATTCGCTCTGCTGTCTTGGATATCTTCTCCAAGGGCAAGCTGATCCCCACCATCAAGGATCACCACGCCGACTTTGTCACTCGTCTTTTGGTCTACATCAAGTTCGCTGTGCCTGAGCAG